TTTTTTAATATAAAAACTTTTTAAATTAAATTTTTTATATTAAAAAGTTGATTTAGAAAGCAATAAAAAAGTGTACGTATCCAAATTACAAATGAACAAATTAGCAGTTACTGACGAGCATATAACCCAATATTCATTTAGGCTTCGTTTAAGGCGGCTTTCTTAATGATTTCTAAATCATCTTTTTAGTTTAAAAATTTTTTAGTTTATGATTTATTTACTAACAAAGAAAGAATCCTTCTATTCATAAATTAAAACAGAGCTAACATTTTTTTGTCTTCTTTTCCATGGCAAATTCAGCGTACTGTACCAAAGCCACCCATAAATTATCCTATTGTCAACTTTTGATCATGATAAATATCAGAGTTATTAAATATATTTTTATTTAGTTTAATACATTAAAAAATCAATTAAAATTTATATCATATTTATCACAAAATAAATATAATAATATTAATATCATTATAAAAAAGTTGAAGAGATTTGTTGCCCTATCATTAGATTATTTCTCCAACATTATAAATTTGAATGATATATGTGCATATTCGAATGTGTCAATGGCCCCTAACTCAATATGTTATTGGGGCAAGGAAGTTAAAATTGCACTTGTCGAAGATCAAGGATCACTTATTGCATGATAGGATTATACTCACCACTCCTTAATTAACATGTCTATAGTCTTCACTCGTCATTCTACATGACTATGGCCACCACCAGTGGCGGCACTGTTCACCGCCGTTCATGCTATTTGCCCTGCTTTCTTTCGTTCGTTGCTCCGCAAAGCCCCGCTATTGTGCCTACTGTTTGAAGTTCGTCGAACTTCGAAGGTCCAAGTTCGAATCGAAAACCCAAATCTGCATCTTCTTCTTACTTTATCTTCTTCCAAGTATTCCTTCAAATGAATCCTTTTTCAATTTTTTTCTTCTTTCTGTTCTTCTTACTGCTGATTAAGATATAGTTCTATTGATCTCTATTTTTTTCAACAAAAAAATAGTTACCTTGATCTCTATTTTTTCTCGTATATATAGCAATTTTTTCTACATTTGTGTTTGGCCTCTATTTACTGAAAGTGGATCGCATAAACTTTCACTTGCTTCTTGATGAAAGCATGGAGAAGGAGAAGAGAGAGAGTGAATGGAAGAAGTTAAAAGGCTTCTCTCCCATTTGATTAAGCTTTTCGCTATTTTGTTTTGTTGTTTGGAAGATGTCATAAAAGAAATTGTGGAGGAGAAAAGATTTTTTTTTTTTGACATTCACACATCGCATATATAAGACTCGAACCTAAAAACCTCTTAGTTGATAGTCTAAACTCCCAACCAACACACTAAGGTGAGCTGTATATATATATATATATAGGGTATAATAAATGGACCATTATTTAAAGAGGAAATAACAAATAGAATATAATATTAACAATCTCCTAGCTCTCGACTTTGACTTTTAATTTGGAGCTATGATGTAAATGATAGAGATAAAATTTGAAAATAATTGTTAAACATCACTTATGCAGTAAAATGGGTGATAATTGACTCAATGATTGTTTGATGTCATGTATTAAGAAATAAATATTTGACGTGATTTCAAATGAAGTTGTAATACAAATTATCAGAAAATATAAAATAGAATATAAAACTTATAATTTTTTTGCTTAACATTTATAATGTAACATCATACTTTTTTTTACTATAAGACTTATACAAATGAATATGCCCTTAATAGTTTTTTTTATAGCTCTTAGTACACTTAGAATATCTCTCTTTCTCACTCTATCAATTTTTCTCTTTTTCTCAATCTTATAAGTCTTAGTTTTAATTTGGGATAAATTTTTTGCTGCTTTATAAAACAAATTTCTTATACAAAATTTTAAATTTTAAAAAAATTTATACTAAAAAAACTGGTTATTAAAAAAAAATAAAGCTGTCCAAAAACAATTTTAAAGATAAAATTTAGATTTTATCCCAAATAAATTTGGATTCAATAATATATATTACTATTTGTATCATATTTAAGTTAGATTTCTACAGCAAAGAAAAATAGTGTTACATCAATAGAACCCCTTATGATTTTTTTTTTTTCAGCATCCGGTGATTCAACCTTCCAATAAATAATACAGCAAATAAGCTTATCAATGCGATTGTTCCTTTGTGAAAAAAATAAAATATTAAGAATTCATCTTAATTTTTAAGAACTAAACCACCATACACCTCTCTAAACAGATCTTTCATCTATATTTAATGTTCTATATTATATTTGTATATGTCACAGAATTACAATATATTGAAAATTGAGTCTATATCATATTTTTTAAATATGTTACATATACTTTTTAAATATAATATATGTTAATAATAAGCAACTTAAACGCTTAAGAGGCATTTTTATTAGGGAAATTTACATACATACCACTTTATTTCATGTTATTTACAAATCTAATACTCAAAATATTAATATTATATGTCTACCACTCATATAAAATTTTAATATCAAATATATCACTCTTATAATTCATTTCTACTATTCATACAAGCCTACAAACTTTAATATTTCATTCCGTGTACCCATATTTGTTCTATGGGTGGTAGTCATGTAATATTAATGTTTTGAATTTTAGATATGTAAATAGCATGAAATAAAGTGGTATGTATGTAAAACCCCCTATTAAAATAAAATGGTCCCAAACAATGTCTAAGATTTCGTTTAAGACAATTTTCTTACTTCCTCTTTGAGCAATTTTTTAATAAGAAAAAATTTTATTTTGCACTCAAAAATTATTTTAAGAAGCGATAATAAACCCATCACAACCGAAACCTAAATTAAATAAAACAATTTTATATCGAATTTGTTTAAGATTAGGAATTGGACAAACTAATATTTACTATATAAATATATTAAAATATTGCTAATTAAGTGATTTAACACATTATATGAATTATGAAATCTCTCTTGTTTTTCTTAATTTTTTATGTTAACACCTCAAATTTGTTGTAAGACTATTTGAGTATATAGATTTTTTTTGTTTTTTTTTTTTTTTTGATAGGGGTGATGATGAAAATCCTTTGTGCAGTGAATTTTGCAATCAGGTGGTTTAATCCATAAAGTCGGTACAAAATAATTTCGGTAAAATTACGATCAGGATATCATGTTCTTATCCACATTTTTTTTTTAAATATTAAAGAGTGGGATTATTTCGTACGGCGTTTTCGAACTTAAAAAATTATTTTGTGTAGGAAAAATATAAGCACTCGGAGCAAGAAACAAAGAGAATTAAAAAGAAAAGATTCGGTCGCCATCAAAACGCCGGCGACGGAGATCACCTGCGGCGAAAACTAACCTTGTGCTTTGCGGGGGAGGACGAAGACTGCGAGAGCGCGACAAGCGGCGGAATAGCTCCTTCTCTCACAAGCAGCCCTCGGTTGAGCTCAGAATCTCTGCAGAGCTGGAGCAGCGTAATCACAGCAAACTCTTTCCAGATCGCAGGCCCGACTTCCATAGCCTCCACAAGAGCCGGAATCCCACCTTCTTCCACAATCGCTTCTCTCCCCTCCTCTATCTCCGACAATCTGCTCAAAACCACCATCGCCTTCTCCGCCGTACCACGCATACCCTCCGCCACCAATGCGACAAGCGGCGTCACCGCCCCCGCGCTCACCGCACGCTCCTTGTTCTGCCGTGCACCGCATAGTTTGTAAAGCGTCGTTAGGGCATCCTTCTTACCCCTGATCGATCCGTTCACCAGAAGTGAAACCAGCGGGGGGATCGCGCCGCATACCCCGATCGTGATTTGGGTTTCCTCGATCATCGATAGATTCAACAGTGCGCATGCCGCGTTCTGCTTCGAGGTCACCGTACCGGTGCGTAGTGCATAGACCAGAGGTTTGATGGCTCCGGCGACGATGATGGGGTTTTTGTTGGATTCTTCCAAAGAGAGGTTAAGGAGTGATGTGACGGCGTTCTCCTGCACGATAGAGTCGGCGCTGCAGAGAAGAGGGATTAGGGTTTGGATCGCGCCGGATGTGCCGATTAGCTCGCGGAAGTCTGATCGGTGCTTGGCCAGAAGCCGGAGCTTACTTGCTGCTCCTCGTTTCTCCTCCGGCGAAGCAGAAGACGTCCCTAGGGTCTCCACGCAGGATCTCACCACCGGTTTTACGAATTCCAGCGACCCACTCTCGAGGATTTTGGTTGAGATGGAGGCAAGGAACCCTACACCCAAACCGTTCGCTCCCTTTTCATCACAATCCGCATATAAGACATCGCCATCGAAAAATGACGCTACCCGCTGAAGCTCGACGGAGATGTCCGAATTAAAGCTGGATATATCGGACAAATCCCCTGAAAGTTCAAGCAGATCGGTTGAAAAATCCGGCGAGTTAGATTTCTCCGCGGTGGACATATATTCAGCGGCGATATCCTGTAGCCTGAAATCGACCACTGAATCCGTCAATTTCTCACACACCCCTTCAGAAAGTTGGCCGATCGGAGTTTGATCAAGTGAGCAATCGATGCCGTTTTGAAAGTGATTCAATCTAATCAACCGCTTGCAATGGACATGCGACCTCTGAATGCTCGTTGAGGAGGAATAACGGAAAGGAGAAGCCGTAATTTGAGAATCAAGCAATGAGACCATCATTCTCCACAAGAAGCTCGAAGATCAACGAAGACGGATGGAATTGGGGGTTTTCAACTGGCTTCTAACGGAAATCTGAAGAAAATCTCGAGAACTGCAGCTTAATGGTGTCAACAGATAGCCGCCAACCATCTTCGAGAAGTTCTTGCAATTGACACATGGAGGGAAGGAAATGATGAGGGAAGCCTCGTGTTCTTCCATGACGACAAGGGTCGGGCGGCGCGTGTTGACTGGCCGCCTGCGACTTATTTTAGGTAGGAATTAGGAAATGGTCCTTAGAAATATTATTTGAGGGTAGTAGATTTTAAAAAATAAAAATAAATGGCCAAAATTTTAAAAGATGCATGTTTCAAAATTTAATTAAGTACAAAAAAAATATTATTAAAATTTTTTAAAATGAATAAATTCGTTAAATTATTTAGCTCTATCTAAATACACCAAAATGATTCGAAAGTTCATAATATGCCAAATCATTTGGCGTATTTACCTAGTGAGAGAAAAAATAATTGAGGGAGGGGAGGAGGGCGCCACGACACATGGAAAGAGAGAGAGAGGGGGAGAAAGGTGATCGAGGAGAGAAAGAGGGTGATTAATATAACTTAATATAATTAAAATTTATAAGTTATAATTTTAATTTAATTACGTTATAATTTTAATAATTTTATCTAAATTGAAATGATGAATAAATTGAAAAAAGATCAATGACACTTTGGCAGTGGTTCTGATGGACGAACGATATTGATTCCATATTTTATAGAGTATTTGAGTGTTTTAATGATGTCAAAATTCAATGATCTTGGGCTTTTCGGATTCTTCTCATTGACACGTCACATTTGGAGATAATTTGATAAAAAAATTTATGGTTTGAACATTTTGAACGTGCTTGAGGTCCTCGATGTGGACCATTTCGACTTGAATTGAGCTGAATTTAGTGTTGTTGAGTTCATCTTTTCGAGACATTCAGTTCGGCTATAAATTTGCTAAAATTTGAGTTTAGAGTTTGAATGATCCCTAATTTAATTTAAAAAATTTCTAATTTTAATATACTTTGAGATTCGTGCCTCGTCAAAATAAATTATTGATGATATATAAATTATATTTTGAATTGTAATATTCTATGTATATTGTGATCATCAACTAAGTTAGGTTTAATAGTCAACCTAACATTCTGAATTTAAATTAGACTTCTAATTAAAGACTAAAAGTTTTAAGAATGCTAAGCTCAAGCTGGAATTACTATTTTAATCAAATGTTTGACATTTGGCACTCAAATTAAAAGTCAAATAAAAATAAAAATGTTAATTGAAATCAATATGCAGTCAATCTTATTAGTTTATATTAAAAAAAAAAAGGAAATTTACATACATACCACTTTATAACATCCTATTTACATATCTAACACCTAAAACTTTAATATTACATGAATACCACCCTATATTATTTTAATATCAAATATACCACTTACATTTCTTTCCTACCACTCATATATTTCATTTCTACCACTCACATTTGGTATGAAAATGAACTATGGGTGGCATGTATGTAATATTAAAATTTTAGATGTTAAATATGTAAATAGCATAGTATTAAGTGGTATGTATGTAAATCTCCATAAAAAATGATTCATTCAACTCAAATATTTTTTTCGTAAACATATTTTCTATAGTTTTTGTGTATTAAATTATTATTAACTATAGTAAAAAAAGAATTTACTTTATACATTCTAATGGGGAAAAATTGTTCAGAAAATCTTGATCTAATTTTCATTAAAATATGATGAAAAAACTCACTCACAATATTTCTATACAATTAAATTATATATAATTTTAATTTACAGAAATTATAAAATAAAAAAATGTTTATTATGAAATATATTATAAAATAGCAAAATATTAATACAAGCTAAGTGAAGTAGTCAAACACTCAAACTCTTTTTCTCATGAGAAACAAATTAGTTTATTACTTAAAATAGGCATAAATATAAAATATTTATTGTTGATATATATATGGACTGTCAAAACCGGGTTACGAGTCAGGTTCAGGTCCAAACTGGAACTGACATGACACAAGTTGACCCGACCCATTTTTTTCCAAACGGATCACTTTCTCGAACCCGAACTCAATCAGCTTCTGACCCGGGTTAACCCGACACGACCCATCAACCCTTCTCTTCTGTACTTCCGATTAAAAAAAATCGGAGGTCGGGACGGCGACAATGGCAGGGACTAGCGGCACTCGACAAGATGACACAGATGAAAACAACTACAGCGGCTGTGGCAACCGACACACGTCAAACGCGGTTACTCAACAAGCCGACAGCTAGCAGCATGGACGGGACGTCGACAACACGGATAGGACGACACTGGTCAGCACGGACGTGACTCGCGCGATTTTCCCGGGTTAAACCTGGTTGAGTTCAGGTTTTCGGGTCACACACAAACCCAACCTGTTTAAAATAAGTCGAATCCGGGAACTCAAACCAAACCCGTTTACAAAACATGTTGACGCTAATCCAAAATTTTCGAGTCGAATTTTCAGGTAGTGTCAAATGTTGACACCCCTAAATATATATAAAAGAGAGAGATTAATGGCTAAAATATCTTATTTAGACTTCTTTTGAGAAAACTTTTTAATTGCTTTATAAAGCATTTTTTAGTACAAATTTTTTGTAAAAAAAAAAGGATTTAGAAAGTAATAAAAAATTTGTCGCAAAGCCTAGAAGAAACAAACAAATGGCTGCTTTAACTAAATTAATTGATAATTAACATTTTTATTATAATTACAACATTCAGTACAGAAAAAAAAAGGAACAAAGGCAAACTGAGCTGAACCAATTTATCTTAAATTAAATGTATTTTTATTAGGATTAGCGGTATAATAACATTTGCTATATACTTAATAACAACAAATTACAGTTTAATTACTTAAGCCTTAAGAATTAATAAAATCCAACACTAATTAAACATAATGGGAGACCAACTCGAATTTTTCTGCTTTCAATCCCTAATTTTAAATTCTTACATTTTTTTCATGATTATACATTTGCGTTGAATAATTGATTAATATTTTGTGAAGATATTTAAATAAAATATTTTAGTTAGAATATCCGGTCAAAATTTTAGTTATGTTGAATTTAAGAGTTTTTCAATTTATTTTTAAGATTATATATAATATATATTTTAAAATTCACTTGTTAAGGTAAGAATCTTAATGCATTTTTTCGAATGAAAGCTATCGATAATTAAATTTAGGACTATCCAAATTTTAATTTTGAAAAATCATAATCAAAATAAATGTATTGATTAGATGAAATCCAACGACATAAAAAATAAACATATTTCAGTTCAAATGATTCCAAATCAAACATTTGAAGTGTTATTGTAAATTTTGAGACACTAATTTAAAGAAATGGACATTGACTTGAAACTAATTAGAGCTTAGAGATCTATAAAATTCTAGAGCTCTATGTAATGTTTGATGTCGACAATCATAGATAGCAACAATCAACATTTAATTATCATTGTCCGCCCGCCATTGTTTGATTGCCAACGCTCGACCACCCTTGCTCAACTGTCATCATCTTTTCACCCTAGTTCAACCATCTTTGTTAAAATGCGGTCCAAATGACATTATCTGACCACTTTCACAGCCTCCACTGTTTCTCTAGCAAGTTTTATTACAACTATAAGAGACTAAACTTGAGCTCACTAGTTTGTAATAGTTTCTTCTATAATCAAGAGAAAGAGCAAATCTTCATCATTTTATTTATATAATATATCATTTCAGCTGAAAAAGATCCCGTAATTTTTTGTCAACTCTGATTTTTCAAGTGAAAACTCTAATACATATTGTCATCTTTTCTTTTATGTTTTATTTGTGTGCATGCAATATCTCAACACAAAATTATGACATCATTGTAAATTTTCTAAATTTTGTGTCATGGAATATTCGCGGAGGTAAAGAAATATAAAGTTTAGCAACATAACTTTGTGCGAAGATCCAACATTCATACAAAGGCTATATGTAGTAAATACACATTATATATAGCTCATTACATCGTAGTTATTCTTAAAAGAGTGTTGACATGTTTGTTTGGTCAATAAGACTATATTTGGGTGGCTAAGATCGAAAAGACCGTAGTTGGCGAGCAATAATGATTTGAGTGGACCATAGTCAGTGGTCAACGGTGGTTCAAAGGTCTATAGTCTACTGGCGATAGTGCTTAGAGTGGGACGTAGTCGGTGTGTGACGATGATCGGACTGGATCGTAGTCGGCAGACGATAGTGGTCAAAGTGGACCGTTGTCAATGGGAGACTGTGGTCAAAGTGGATTGTAGTCGACAAGCGACTGTGGTGAGAAAGACCATTGTCAGGAAATGATGATCAGAGGGATATAATCGAGCGATAATCAGTGGCTGATCGGAAGTCCGATGAAGGTTAGTGGTTTGACGAAAGTTCGGCGATGGTCGGTGGCTGGGAGGTGATCGAGGAGGAGTCTGGTGGCAAGAGAGCTCCCTGATTTTTCTTCATCTCTTCTTTTCTTTCTCTTGCTTCCTCTCCACACTTCAATATAGAATGCAAGGTAAATTTATAGTTTTCTAGGAGTGCCATGGCTAGTAAATAAGGAGAAGATCAAGACCCTTGATCTTCTTCCTATTTACTGGCCATGCCACTCCAAAAAAACTATAAATATACCATTCATTCTTCATTGAGAGGGAGTAAAAGGGAGGAAGCTAGGAAGAGAGAAAATGAAGAGAAATCAAAGTTCTCTTTCCACTATACTCCTTCTCGACCACCACCAGACCACTAATCATCGATAGACTTCTACCTGGCCATCGACCGTGGTCGAACTTCTACTCAACCACTAACTGACACTAGATTTACACCTGGCCATCAACCGTCGTTAGACTTCTAACTTTCTCCTGGCCACCAATTTTTGCAGGAATTATGCTCGACCATCGATTGTCGTCAGATTTCCTCTTGACCACCGTCATTCGACAACGATCCTTCTTCCCACCATGGCCCAACTATGGTCCTTCCGGTCTTTATCGCTCATCGACTATGATCCTTCCAACCACCGTCATTCAACTACGGTCCTTCTGACCACCGTCACCCGATTATGGTCTCTATGACCTCCATTGCCCAATTACGATCCTTATGACCACCTTCACTCGACTATTGTCTTTCTAACATCCGTCGCCCCACATACTAGGTCTCTAACTTTTGTCTCCCACCGACTAAAGTCACGTCGACTACCATCTCCAGACTATGGTCTCCCTGACTGTCATCACCCGACTACAGTCTTTCTGACCTCCGTCGCCTGCCATCTACAATCTTTCTAACCTCCGTCGCCTGCCAACTACAGTCTTTGTTACCCCCGTTTCTTGACTATGATCCTTCTAACCACCATCGCCCAACTGTAATCCTTTTGACCTACATCGCTCACCGACTATGATCCTGCTGACCAAATGAACATATCAACATTGATTCTTCCAACTCCCATCATTAATGCACTCTATATGATGTATATTTGCTACATCGAGCCAAGACCTTCCCCCCAAGGAAGGGCCTAATTTGTAATCAAATGTGAATACTAGTGGATTCATTTAAAATGGGCAAGTCCATGTGATTTTTTCCTCTTTTTTAGAGGTTTCCACGCAAAAACTCTGGTTTCTCTAATGAATGCTACACCTAGATCTTTCATTTGTTTTATGCTGGATCTTCATACGAATCTAAGACATTGAACTTTATGATTTTCTACCGTTACAAAATTTCTTGGATGCTATAGGCTTTATTGGCGATAAAACATGTTGACGTTGTTGGAGATGCACGTGATGAAGACAATTTGCGCAAACGTTGTTGTCGATATCTTACGTCGACTTTATAGGTGACGACATACATTAATTTGATTGACAATGGTGAGCATCATAATTGGTCAGCGTCATTGGTGTCGACATTATTGGCGTCAAATTTTGTGGATGTCGATATTGGTGTTGATGGTTTGCATCGACTTGATAGACAATGACATGTATTGATATTGTAGTGATAGTGAGTGTCGAATTCAACGGATGTTAGCTTTAGTCACGATGATATGCATCAATCTCACATGCAATGGCATAAACAATAATTGATGGTGATGGTGGTCAGGATGCCAATTTCATAATATGGTGGTCGAGAGGTTGTAGAAGATGACACTGATCAAATGATTGTGTTTTAGCTTTGGTATTGACGATGATTGTCAAAAGATTGTAATCAATTTAAAGTGATCGGCGACAACAGTTCACCGATGTTGGTCATGTGGCAATGATGCAACGATGATAATTGAGTGGTAGTTGTCCAACATTGAAGCTTAGTGGATAAATTTTTAATTTGAATATGCTTTGAAATCCATATTAACTATGCAACTTCACGTTGATGTGTCAATATTATTTTAATTGAAAATTTGAACACCATATTAACTATTGTACTTGAGGACATTTGTGCAAATTGGTTGAATGTTGTCTTAAAACCTCGCTGAAGTTCGAAGCGAGTTGGAGACGGGAGACGGGCGGACTTCTGCTCGAAGTCCGTGCCGATGGATCTCTGGCAGGTGAAAGGCGAGGCCGAAGAAGCTGCGGTAAGCCTAGAAGGGAAGAAGGCGATCCTGGTTCCATACATGAGGGAGCACGTTCCGAAGTATCACGAGTGGATGAAGGACCCGGCACTGCTCCTTGCCACTGGATCTGAGCCCCTCACGCTAGATCAGGAGTACGAGATGCATCTTTCATGGACCAAGGATCCCAACAGTATACCTCTTTTATCCTTTTCACGTTCCTTCCCTCCCTAATCCCTATCTTCAACCCTCTCTTTCAAATGAGAAGGATTGCTGATTTTGATGCAGAGCATACGTTTATAGTGCTGGACAAGGAGTTGATTAAGGGAGGCTTCCTCAATGGAGAGCCCCATATTGAAGGTTTGTTGTTTTCTAGATTGGAAGTTTCTATATAACATGCAATGCAAAAAATCATGTTTTAGGCATGCAATATTTGTAGAATACAAACTATCAAACCAAAATAACTATTGATTGCCTTGGATGAAATATGGAAAATGATAGAAATCAATTTAGACAAAACATTTGCTGGTCTCCTGCTAGAAATTAACAATCAAACATGTCACACATGATGAAAATTCGAGCAATCAATAGATATCCATATTATCAAGGGCGGAACCCCTTTGGGGGAGGGGGGGGCCCTCGAAATTTTTAATTTTTTTATTATTATACTCTTATTTAGGTGATTTGCCCCCCCTAAAAATATTAAAATACTATGGTTTTTAGGCAATTGCCCCTAATATAATTAAATATATTGTGTAGATGTGTTATTGTTAGGGAATGATGAACCAAATACAAAGAGAAATCGTAAATTAGATCGAACCCCGTCAGGGGGTGCTGCCCCCGTTGACCCCTGACATATATGCGAACAGTTACTTATAAGTTTGCCCCCCTCCCCTCTTAAAATTATGACTGGTTCCGCCCCTGCATATTATAGCATATATGACTAAACATAATCTTTTTTTATTTCAAGAATGAAAAAGCATTGAAGAAGAAGAGATAGGGTAAGAAAAATAAATGAAGGGAAATAATATAAATAAAAAAGCTAGCTTAGGGCTTTACGAGGAGATAATATGAATTAAATATTACACTTGACTAAGGATCAAATTCATGGAATGAAAGAGAAAGTCCTCACATTCGTTGTAATAGTTTCATTCATGCCATCAGGTATCTCATATGACTGAGAATTCCATATCCATGGATAGAAAGAATACCGAACTACTAACATGCTACTAATAATTTGCTAACAAACTTTTAACAAACTAATAATAAAATCCTAATAATAGTTAGAGTAGATTTAAAACTGAATATATAGAGTGTAATTTTAGTAATAATAAATCTAGTGGGAGGATTGTGACTTTGGGTGATCAAGTCATTAATAAGAGCACACGTATTAGATATCTTGGGTCTATTTTTTAGAGTGATGGTGAAACAGATGGGGATATCATTAGTAGAATTCAAGTTGGATTGTTGAAGTGGAGGAATGCATCGGGCTTGTTGTGTGATAGAAAAGTCCCTCTCAAACTTAAGTAAAAATTCTATAAGATGGTTGTGAGACCTGCAATCTTTATGGTGCAAAATGTTCGCCATTAAAAGAGAAGCATGATAATAAGTTAAGTGTTGCAGAGATGAGAATGCTCAGTTGGATGAGTGGTTTTACTCTTAAAAACATGATACGATATGAGCATATACATGACAAGGTTGGAGGAGCTCCAGTGGTAAATAAGATTAGAGCGAGTCGTCTTAGATGGTTTGGTCACATAAAACGGAAGCCTTCTGATGACCCAGTTAAGATAGTAGATGTATTAGATTTGACTTCCGTTAAGAAATGTAGATATAGACCTAAAAAGATTTGGTTAGAAAATATTAGAAATGACATTTCTTTAGTAGATTTAGATGAGAATTTGACCCTTAACATGACACAATGGAGAAAAAAGGATTCATGTTGCTGACCCCTCATAGTGGGATCAAGGCTTGTTGTTGTTGTATAAGATTTTTTAAAAAATCTATACATACTTTTTTCATATTTTGTATAGAATTAAGTAATAAAATTCACAATATTTTCTTCATATTTCTATTTTTTTTACATCTTATTCCTCTTTTCTTATATTATTTTGTGCACTAAGCTCAGCTTGTTTTTAATGCAAATGAGTTTCTTAGTTTCATTTGAAACTCCTCTCTACAGCAGGTATGTTTTTCCCCTTTTATTGTTGTTTTGATGACTTCTGGATTCTACAAATGGTTTCCTTTTGTGAGACCTTAATTAGTTGAATGGCTTTTCCTAAGTCATCTTAATAATTTAGTACATGAGCTGATAATAGCTTTAAACGTGTTTGAGTGGATGATATGCATGTCAGATTTTTGGTGCTGGAGTATCGAGCCTATGAATAAATTTAATGCTTATTCTGTGAGGTTAAATAGCTGCTTTGGAGACACTAACTTAAAACTGTTCTGAACATAGTTTTGGTGCTGAAACTGTCGTTGGGCATTTCATATCTGGATAAACTGTGGCTAGAGAGGATTGCAGATAATATTGCCTTGCTTTACAGAACATGTCGGAAGAGCTGAGCTTTACAGACCTTTGGTAGAAGTATTAAGCCTCATATTCACGGCAATAAGAGATTAGACATTCAGTTTTTGTTCATGTAATTTATGATCTCTAAAAGAATTCATGACAATAGTATCAGACATCCCAAACAGAATTAAAGTTTTTTGGATTCACATTGATTGGGTTTTAAAATAGAAATGTTCATATCATTTTTTTAATATTACTTTGTTAGACTGAGATTTGTAGGTTATCTAACTTTGCATCATATGGTGCTAGCTATGGTTGGTGATGTCAATATGTACATGAATGACCTAGATGATCTGCAGCTAGCGGAAATTGAAATCATGATTGCTGAACCAAAATGGTATCACTTTTATTTTATTCAATTTCATTCTTTCAAGGATCTTCTTATGCAGTTTTATCATTGCCTGCCTTCTGAGCTCATAATTTTAATTTTGTTGTTTTTCTAAATAGTTAGTTAACACTGTTTGGTCATGCTTTCTTATGCCATATTTGCTGGGATCTTTTGTATTTTATTTTGCTTTGCCATCTAGCAAAGGATTAGATTGTTTGGTGAACTGCAAATTAAGGTTCTTGTCTAAAGCATGGGTTGGTATCGTTTTTGGTGCACATAGAGTACTCCCCATTGATTGGTTTAGCGATCTATCATGCATAATGTCCACCTAGCTCATGCAAGAATCATATCGACAGTACCTTGCTAGTTTTAAGTCAATTGTGAGATCAAGTCGTGGGGCGGGTATTATCACACATTATTTTATGATATGTTGCGTCATCTTGTAACCCCATATTGGAGTGTCACTTGTTTCATCTCATTCATCATTATTTATAGTTACACATGTAGTCAGAGGGACAAAGAGATCATAGAGGCTTTTCGAGAAAGTTGATCCAACTAGCATTCATGGAAATTTCACCTATGTAAAATTTGTGATTGAGACATTATTTCGCGAAATGGACGATCCGAGCATGTCTGGATCATTTGGACGATTCAAATAAGCTTGTCCTTGCTTGAATCATGTGCGTTTGATGAGCGCCGTGCACAAGAAACTTTCACTCATGTAAAAATTTGTAATATGTACATTATTTCCCGAAATGGATTGTGAGAGTGCATTTGTATTGTCAAGATGGTTTGAGCAAGCTTATTCGCGCTTGAATTGGACGTCATTGGACAAGCAACGAGCTTCCATGCATAAAACTTTTCACCCGCGGAAAAATCTGTTATTGAAATATTATTTTGCGAAATGGTTGCACGAGTGCATTCAGACCTTCAAAATGGTTTGAGCAAGCCCATTTGCGCTTAAATTGGGCATCAAATTTTCATGCATAAAAATCTTCATGTATATAAAAATTTGTGATCCAAAATTTATTTCATGAAAGACAATATCTTTCTTTCAAGACTCAGCCACCTTATTCGAGCAAGTACGGACTTGTTCGAACAATTTAGGAGATTTAGTTGTACTCGCATAGCCTATTCTGCAAAATATTATCTCAATGACAAATTTTGTTTGAATGAAAATTCCATGCATGAAAGTTTCTTGTCAAATGAAGCTTGATTTAAGCTTGTTTGAATAATCTAGACGATCCATATGTTCTTACTTCTTAGATAGTCCATTTTCCAAATAATATTTCGATTACAAATTTTTTACTAGGTGAAATTTTCATGCATTAATGTTTGTGTGCTCAACATCCATGCAAAATCTCTTTGATATCAGATTTGCGCTACTGCATGCATGACTATATATGATGACTAATACGATGTGGCGTGCAAAACTATGATATGGGTTATGACATGATGCAATATATCATAAAATAATATGCAATAACATGTGACACGTGACTCATTCACAATTCACTAAGAATTAGCCAGGGACCGTCGAGGTGATGTTTGCATTAGCTTGGAGGACATCATGTTGGACCCCAATCATAGGGGAATATTCTATGTGCATAAAACATGATGCCAACAAACAAACCTGTGGGTGTATTTATATTTTATAGAATATGCCACATGTGTTGGTCAAATGTAAACAAATGATTTTAATTTATGTGAGCTTTGTCTCCCTTTCTAGGAAAGACAATTCTATTCCCTCGCTAAGAGGATGATTCATAGTTTCGACTTTGAAAGACACCTCAAGATTCAAAGAAGTCAAATCACATGGTAGAGGATAAATTGTTGTTGCTAAAAGGTTAACCTTTCATAAGATGTGAAACGTACAAGCATGGATGATTAAATTAAGGAAGTTTGCACGCTTAAATTTTAGAACACAATAATTATAAGCTTTCTCTTGATGATAAACGACAAAATAAAAATGATAAGGTGATAAAATAGCTTAGGTCTAAACACATGCGAGAGGTTGAGATCTTTAAATAGTCAACTAAGTCTTACTTTACATACATGAGTGGTTTCAACGGAAATTCCAATGCTAACAATAAGATTAGTATTATAAAGGACCTCTCTCACAACTCATTCAAATACTAGGTTTAGCGG